TTATTCCATTGCGGACAGTGCGCATAATCCATCAGCCGTGATTAGTGTTGGAATCCACGCTTCACCTTTCCAAGGCCGTTAACGTGCCTGTACAGGAGTTTGCGGTTCATGCAGAATCGCTTCATTAACTCCTTCTGATGCGTGACCTTGTCTTCGCGGATCAGTTTCACACAGAGGTTACGATATGTCATATATGCAGTCCAGCTTGCTGCATTCGATCAGTCCTGGTGATGTCGCCATGCCAAATCCCTCTGTGACACATATTTACATCTTCTGCTCTTCAGAAATGAGTTATGCTTGGTTTGGGTTGGAAGGACTCTTGTTCAGAAGCGTGCGCAACCAGTATGTTAACCGTCTTTGTAAAGGTTTCCCAGACAACATCTGGAGGGCATTCGGTTAAAAATCTCCTAGATGTTTCCTTAACAAACGTAAATAACACATTGTAGTGCACGACAATATGCACTTTATCAACCTCCATTTCAGGATACTCCGCATAGCAAATATAGTCAATGAGTAGAGTAACATGATCACTACGACCCAGTGGTGTGCTTGTAACCATCCCGTCAACCATGAGTTCTTCGATAGTGAGCAAAAGATCAAGCATCGACGGCTTGTTAGCAATTCGAAATCTCGTGGAGAGGTTACGTGGTTGTACAGATTGTGGCTAGCAATTAGTCCATGCAAGCAGGCTTTAAACTGCATACCGTCGGTTGCTGGCGTTTCCATGTCGTGCACATTGAAGTCTCCAGCGATACGAATGTGGGTGTAGGAGTTGTTCAAAGCAAACTGAAAGACGTGGTTCAGTTTGGCATCCATTTCCAATGTAGAGTTTGATGGGCGATAAATTACGGCTAGTAGACATGTGTCCATGTTTTGCTACCGTAGACGGGACCAAAGCGAATCAAGCGTTTGGATTTCTGGGTGTTCGATAGCTTCACATCGGTGGTTTGTATTATAGGGAAAATCACACCACCACCGCTTCCGGTTCTATTGGTTCGAAACAACGACATACCGGTAAATTGATCTCAGGATCGGTTATCTGAATGTTTAACCATGTCTCCATAATCATGACGCGATCCTGCGTTTGTGAGTTTGCGATTCCTCTAATTTCGGCCAACTTACTTAGAAGGTCTTGGGCGTTTGTATACATTTATTAGTAGTTTGCGTTGATGGGTGTCAAATTTGCGTTTGTTTTTAAGCTGACTTGAGATATCTGGCCTTTATGCATTTATGGTTTAAGAATTTTAGTCAAATTGCGCGGTATTGATGCGCTTTCCTGAACATCAGTTTTGCTCGCGCTGCGCTCTATCCTGTTGTATGCCTTAGGTGTTGTTGTTTCGGTCTGTCAGCATGACGGTGCAAACCAATAATTTACGGCGTTTGCAAATTCTATCGAGTTGCTAACGACATGTGGTCGTGTGCCTACTGCCATTAGCCGGATCTCGGTTGACAACCTGGATCGAAACTTTACCCTGTTATATAACAGCACTTGCGTCATTCCCTTGGAATGCAATATTACTTTCATTTTATCTTGGACCGCAACCCATGTTGTCAGGTGATAGAGGAACTCTTGTCAAGGGTTTGGCCACAAAATGTCAAAAGAGAGTACTTCGCGGATGTAGCACCACTGCTTTCTGTCATGTGTTTGCCCATCATGATCTGGAGAATCCAGAATCTCGGAAACACCATGAACAAAAATGAGTTTCATTCTATGGCGATTTGGATTGCCGCGTTGGTAACCTGCATTCTTTGGGCGGTCTTTCCAATGGAGATCGAGCATCATGCGCAATCCGCTCGTTGAGTTGTGAAGATGGATCGCTGAAAGCAGTACAGCCTCTACCTCATCCGCTCAGTTCAATGTCATTCGGAGAATTTGATGTTCACCAGAAGGCAATGAGGAGGTCGGGTGATGAGGTATGCGTCTCAGCATAATAGACTCAACCCGAATACCAATCATATCGCTGGTGGAAATCCACTGGTTGCGATCGTCTTGCAACTTGCCTTTTATTGTGCCAGATTTGGACTCGGGAACATTGGTGCACACGTGAGTTAACATAGCGTGGTTTTGTCTAGCGTGTGTCAGCGTTAAAGTTGTTGCTGGTAATTTTGGCTGTTTACAAGGCACCACTGGATTTGACGGTGTAAGCTGCGTCGCCCCACTTGTGCTCGGTGCAGAAGATGGACCTACGTGTGTTGTTCCCTGCTTGTTTATCGAGCCAATCCATGCGTACCTTACCAGCATGTTATCTGAACAGGATTACCTCCGGCTCTCAGCTGTCGGTGCCATAGCTGAGTCTCTAGTTGAAGTGTCCATGGTTGGAGGAGTGGTAGGAGGCATGTTTAAAGGTTGTCCGCTTATTGTGAGTGAGGTGACCCAGAGGACTTAAATCCATAGACGCTGCAGTGCCGTTGGAACGTCTAGCTCTTTTCCTCGGTTTAGTGTCATAGCTCACGTTGGTTGGTTGAGGTATTAGAGTGGCCACACAACCGAGGGAGAGATATTCTTCATAAAATGCGCGATTATTTCTTTCATCCTATCGCATTATTCATAAGCAAAGATAAACGGTTGGCAACTGGAATAACTTGACATGTTGGACAAAACCAAAAGGTGTTAACACCTTTGTTTGTCTGTCGTACTTCTCGGGCGGGTTTGCCGATACATTGCGGACAGTAGGATCTAATGTAGATAGTACAGGTTAGCCGTTCTTAAGGACTTTGCCGCAAGTATCTAAAGAACGTAGGCGTGGTTTCACCATCGAAATGCTTGTTGTCCTGTTATCGTTTGTAGCAAGGTCTATCCGAACCGCCTTTGTGGGCCAGGCGTTTACGTGAAACAGTCACTTCAAAACACGCACTCCAGTGGGCTGTAACAAATATGCGTCTCACCGCCTCCCTAACGCGCAGGGCACAGACTGCGGCGTTCAGCGATCAAAGGTTTAGCGGTTGAACGCATACAAAGCGGCGGCATGTACTAATCGGTCTGCTTTAGACGACGATAGAGACGGTGCGCTGATAAGCGTCCCTAAGTGTTCGGACGCAATGTTCAGTAGATGAGTGAAGCAAAATGATCGCAACTTTGTTATGTTGCTACTTGTAGTGATGTTCGCCGGATAGCTTAGGATTTCTGAGTTTGTTCTTCCGAATCAGACCGACATATTTCCTGAAAAGCTGCGGAATGTGGTTGCACACTGAAAACTCGACAAAGAATATACCAAAACGGACAACTGGTACAAGAATATAATCCACACAAGTTGGATCCAAAAGGTGGGAAGCACTGCGTAGAGCCCATTGAACTGGTTCAAACGAGCGCACGCACAATATTGTGTGGGGAGAATTAGATTGACCACATGGTGAGGCGAGAGGCGAGTTAAAGTGCGGCTCAAGAACCTGCATGTCATGCACAAGTTTCTCACAGTTTCTCAGTAGCAGGTCTAAGGAAGAAGGAATCCAGCACGCCATTATGCCTCTCTAATGGTTGCTACCTCAGTTCCAAACAGCATCACCGCGAACTTTCTCTTGACTTCACAATGGCCAGGGATATGTTCAGCCTCAGGAAAACATAGTTAACACAGTACGAAGACATCGGTTGAGATATGTTAACGTTTCGATTGCTCTCGTCAGTCGCTACGCCATACAGACAGAAAATCACGCAATATATAGGGTCCACACTTAGTAAACTAGATAAGCAGATAAGATTGATGGGAATGACGTAATCAGGTACAAGGCAATCTAATAGATTGCCCCAATTGTTTCTGGGCACATCACGGGACAACGTAACCTTATCCGGAGCGCCTCGCCATATGCCAACAACGTCGGTTCCTATTGCGCAATAACACCTTGAATGAATCGATTGTGTTCACCTGATGACGAGTCGTCATGAGGTGGTTGGTGATAGACGAGGCAGGCTTCCGGTTCATTCTTTGGTCCGCTCTGCCTTGGTTAAACAGCAACTGCCTTAGCCACAATGAGAAGTGTTCCGCCATCCTTTGAGCCAGCCAGCGACCAGTCTTGCCTATGTAAGTGTCACCGCAGCTGCAAGTGAACTGATAGATGAAGTTAAAGACCGAACTGATTGGCGAGCTACTCGGACGGCTTTGGAGAGGAATCCTTCGTTTAGCGTGAATAGGTCGTAGCTGGGCGGTGGAGTAGGTGCTCATTAGAGCAGTGCGCTCTAATGCGCACCTCCATTCAAAACATCACAATTGTCTAATCGCATCCCTTGGAGTTACCAGTAATGCCCATGCGCCAATATCGTTTGCGGAAGGATTCTGATGTTGTAATCGCAGCAGTCTCTTCGGAGACTGTTTAACCTTCATTTAATATGTATTTGTGCGAGTTAGATGCACGTTTATAATATGAATTGACAAAATTGTTCATGAAATATCATCACAACTTAGCTTGGTGTGACATTGTGCACGAAAACCTTTCGAATAGCGGTGTAGTAACTGAAGACTCCTCTTGTCAATATACCTAACTAATATCCATACTATTTTTAAATTTAACATAGGACCTGGTTATCTGGACGTGCAGTGTTGTTGATTAAAATCTAGCTTATGTTATTGTAAACAGCATGCCATTTTTACCGTGAATAACCTTGATGATTCACCTCTGATCCGTTTAATAATAAATGTTGATGTGGAGTTCGAAGCAATAACCTTGATGGTCAAGTAGAATAAATTGGTCAGCATATGTCAGAAAATAACGGCTGAGGAAAAATAAGATGATCTCCCATGACCTCGTTTAAGGAACTTGTTACACACTGCATCCGTAAAAAGTGAATATGGTGAACTTCAAATATAGTGCAACAACAACAACAACAAATATTCGATAAATGTCACAGTCGATAGTGTGACTGTCTTCCGGTCCTAGGGAGCTCCTCAGGATTCTACAGAAAATAGCCTATATCAAAGTCTCCGGAGCTCATTCTGTTTTCGCCACGTTGGGAAATAGTCACACCTTTTGCAGCGTACGACCGCTAGATTATGGTTTGATACACTTACTCCTGGTAATATCAATTTCTTGTAATCGTCCAAAATCACCGCGAAGTCTTCGCCTTTCTCTGGTGCCTCCTGTGGTAGTGTACGCTCTAAGTATCCTGGAGTAATGGTTTTCATGTCAGGTAGCACCGGGAATTGCTTTTGCAGCAGTTCTTCCCAGTAGCATCGGATAACATCGAGCACTTGATTTCCGTCTTTCACTAGTTGCTCAGGTTCCATTTTGTCTATAGCGAAAAACCGAGGGTTCTTTGGATATTTTAAGTCAAACTATGTATTTCAATCAAAGTAAAATACCAATGAGTCTAAAGTTAGCCCGTGCAAATATAGTCTAATTTTAAATTATATGGCCAATGCATACGCATATTTGACGCAGTAAGTGAAGACGTGCTATTACTTTTTTACTTAGGTGGATTCACTATTATATCTCCACTTTCATGGTGCAAGTGACTTAAATAGTGTCATCGAAGAAATAAATTATAGAAATTGTTTTCCAATAAAAATTTAACAAAAACGGACTCTAACAACCATGCACATCTTACGTCAATCCGTTGTACATAGTTTACACTGTTACATGAGTGAACTTAACGAATAAACACTTTGCAATATCATGCTCCGCATGCATTCTACTACTTCCCCTGCTTAAATATGCCGTATGCACATTTCCTATATGTTCTTCGCCTAAGGTGACAAATGCATTTTGACGCTATGTGGTACTATTGAAGTGCTGAGTTGTCTAGCTACTAAGTAAGAGAGACTACCGCACATATCGTTCACAAAAATGGCGATATGTATTACCATGTTTAAGGAATAAAATCGTTTACCTCATCGATGCTCAACAGCAAGCTCCAATTTAGCACCGTGTAAGAGTAACGGTCCAGAGTTAGCCACTCTGACAATAGCATCTACTCATAAAGATGCGTTCGCCACACATCCCTCAACAGACTCATGCGCCAAACTAAACCCTGTTAGAGGAGCAGCAACTTACGCGTCCCTTGTTGCTACCCATATGAGGGAGGCACCTCCCATTACAACTCCGCCCGCTGCCAAACAATTCACTACTGCCAATATCACCACGGGACTCAAGACCTCATCATTTGTTCAACCGAAGGAAACAGACACTGGCCCCTCCAAAAAGGAGAACATAAAACACTACCATAATTATCTAACTGTTAAATGATCTAATGTGACTGAATCTGGGGCAAACTCCATAAAAGATAAGAGACTAGACGATCAAAACAGTGGGACACGCTGTGTCAGCTAATGGGGGTTCAAGCTAAACCAGTCAGTATGAGGCGTCTCGTCCGTCACCCAAACTCTGTAAACTACGGTGAACCGCGGTTACTCCAGGTAACACTTCAGTCAGGTAATGATGCAGAGGCCTTTCTGTTGTCAGTCACATGCCATAGTACCACCACATGCACTATTCGAATATTTCCAGATGTTCCTTGGAGCGAAAGCCAGAAACGCAAACAAAATCTGAATGACTTCCGTAAATAATAAGACGCAAAATCTATCCTTGTTCACGGTGTCCCCAGCTTCAGTCAGTAAGCGAGCTAGATGTCAAAGTGCACGACTGGGATGAATGGCATTTTATTCGTGAAGTACTCTCACTCGAAAATGTTATCGCTAATTAGACATCAAGGTTACCGCTATCACCCAACAACAAAGGGTGTGGTCCCCAAGTGAAGAATGTACATTACACTCCGAAATGACGGCAGAACATGTGATCAAAATGTGGCACAAAAGCGTAAAATGCTACCATCCGATATACGTATAAAGTCGATAGGCACGGGGCAACAGATATACAATGTAAAACTGAGCAAGAAAGTTACTAATACAATTCGGTCACCGTGTAGCTCAGAAGGGAAACAGTGCCGAAACACACCGATAGCTGAAGGAGGACAGGATGATCGCCATCTTGTTGGTGCTGAGAACTCTATATAACAACCTGAACTGGCCCTGGGGCCTGCGCCATCGGTCCTACAAAAGGCTACCGGCAGCTGACCCCGCAATGGAAGGTATAGACCCACACCGGAAACCAGCATTCACAAACACGCTTCTGACCACCGATGCCCTGAGTTGCTTGTATACTACAAGGTCTTCTCAGCAAGCTAACAGAACTTCGTTTTCGTCAGGTCTTCACGCCTTGGGACTTAGTTAGGGTCACCGAAACATGGCTGAACACGGAGAGCACAGATACTGAGATTGCACCACCCGGCATGACTAGCATACGAAATGATCGACCTAGCAGCGGAGGCGGAGTACTCCTGTATGATCGATCCGACCTGCATATTGATGTCATTTAGGACCCAGAGGTGAAAGTCGTCGATTCTCTTTGGTGTCGAATGCACCGAAGACGCGGTGATGTGGGTTTACTAACAATAGAATACCTTCCTCCAAGGTCCATTTTGGAAATGGATCAGTACCTAACTTCTGCGAGGAAATGAGTCCTGGCATGACCATACAGTCACGTCCTTCTAGTGGGGGACTTCAGCCTGCACGCAATCGAAGTTCCAGCATGGCACAGCGAACAATTCAAGGCTGATTTGTAAGAGCTAATCGACGATGTACCTCTGTAGAAATATGTCATCTCTCCTACGCGATTCTGAACGGGTGACACATCATCTGTTTTGGACCTTGTACACTCTAACAAGGAACTAATGGTCAACACAGTGATCATAGGTGCACCAACTGGCCGTATCGACCATGCGATGATGTTCTTTCGGTACACCTGTTACTCGGAGTACCTCAGTGAGAGCAACGTGGAAACCCATGTCGTTACATATTACGATAAACTGTCCAACTTTGTTCAAGAATCCCACTGGTCCTTCCAGGCCGAGCAGCCGCCCGATGTCGCCTAGATGTTGTTCGTCACCCAATTCACTGAGCTAATGACAAATGTGTCAGAAAGTAAGGTTCTTCACCCGAGGCAAGTGGATACGTTCCTGAGGAGCAGTACTAAAAGTGCATGGCTTTAAGGCATTCAGCCTGGCTCGCTTACAAACTCTGTCTAAGTAACCTGACCTGGGGTGATTACACGAATCAACGAAACCACTGCGTTGATCCACGAAGACAAACTCCAGCATCAACAAAAATTGGTGTCGAAATTCAGTAAAAATCCCATGTTGATGTATAGACACCTCAACAAGCTCCGCAGAGTGCAACGCGGGATCCCGCTTATACTTCAAGCTGATGGTCTTGCGCAAACCGAACAAGATGCTGCCATCGTGCTTCACCAAAAGTTAGTCCATACTTTCCGGAGTGAAGCATTATTTCATCCGCTTTTTACACAGCTTCCATCGCCACCAGGGTTAAATCACGTTTTCAAAAAACGATTAGATGTCGCTCTTAGCTCCCAACATTTTGTTACCTAAATTCCCCTACTGTGGATTACGCCAAGGATGCATTTCTACAGGCTTTATGTATCAAATGGACCTAAGTGAGCGACCATATTTTACTTTTCTCACTCTTTACCTCAATGATCACTGCACCCCAGTGTCTTTCTGCATGTTTCCGCCCGATAATTTATTTTAACTTTACACTGATGTTGCTTATCAAACTATTCATATCGGCAGACGTTCGATAGATGACCCAGACATATTTTGATTTTATCATATTCACCACAACCATCCTACGGGACGTGTCAAGCACTTGCTTTTATCCCGTGATAAATCATTGTTCATTGTTCATTGTTCAACAGGATGAAAACGCAAATGTCATTTCGTGTGCACAGGTCAATGAACAATGAATTTATACGACGGCTTGCTTCACATATCCCAGTGGATAGTTGGTGGGAATATCGACATAACAATAAAGTTAATGATGATAGTAAAACTGTTAGTACGTTAAATATGAAAACAGAGACTTATCGTTTGCTCCTCTGTAGTCCTGCAATTCTCTTATATTCACAGCACCCACAGGTAACATCAGATAATTCTATGGTAATCTCCAGACGTAGGATGGAGACGTAGTGCTAAGTGACAAAGTGTAAATGGATGAGTGCATCATCCAACCGTCATTTAAATATCGTTAGTGCCGATGTGGTTATGACCGATTCTGGGAGACCATTCCACGGGTGACAGACAAGAATGGAAAAGAAATTTCAGCGGCATTCCAGATGGCTATGCTGTACAGCGAGTTTCAGTGAGTGACCTCTCAAGTTTGCACTGCTGATTAATTGCAGTAAATGGTGGCACACATGATGTGGGTCTCGCAGAATCAAGCACGCAATAATAAGGTCGCCAAGTAGTCAGCGACAGCATCAACTGAATGATTCCAATCGTTGCAGCCTCTCCTCGTATGGAAGATTGCGCATTCCAATTAAGTTCTTAGTAGCCCGAAGTTGTGGCTGCTCCAGTGTCGTAAGCTTGTGTTTCAGCCATGGATGTCAAGCTTCAATTACGTATTCGACATGGGGCGCATATGCACACTGAGCGTATGTCGAAATATGGAGCAGTTTATTTGCCCAAGCTCCGTCGCAACAGCCCGACTTGTTGGTTTCCAGGCTTCGAGGCCTTTTCGGATTGCTTCGAGCAAACCAAGACATCTTGAATCAGAACACCCAAATCACGTTCGAAAGTTGATAGTTGTAGTATATTCGTTCCTAGCCGGTATGAGTAGCTGCTCCGATGTCGGATGGAAAGCACCTTGCATTTACTGAGGGTGAACTGCAGTAAGTTGTGGGTTGATCATTGTTACACCGGATCAAGGTCACTCTGAAGCACATGTTGCTTGGCGTTCGACTGGATCCTACGCCAGATGTTGACATCGTCGGCAAACATTAAAAAATATGAAACGTTTCCCTGTGCACGGTCATTGAAAAACTCCAAAAACAAACGTGGACCCAGAACTGAGCCATGCAGTAAACCACACTCGAATTGGCTGGGTGCCGATAAAGAGCTTCGAACTCTGACCACTTATTGCTGTTGAAGTAGAAAGGTTGCAATCCAGCTTAAATAGGATCGCCGATCCCGTAATGCTGGAGCATGGAGAATAGTATCCGATAGTCTAGACGATCGAAAGCCTTGGAAAAATCCAGGTAGATCTCATCAACACCTTCTCCAGCGTCAGCTACCTCGGTCCAGCTAAGGCGTGGGATTAGTACGTTCGCTACACATGACTACTGTCAACGGAAACCGTGCTGCTTCGACTTGATAATGTCGTAGTTTTCCAGATAGCACACTAGTGTATCCGCAACTATGGATTCTATGAAATTGCAG